GCCAGTGCAGGGAGAGTTTTTTCCAAAAAGAGCACCCCTGCCTCTGTGCCCTGAGGTCCCCCTAGGATGCACCCTGGCTTTCTCTGGCCAGGGTGATGGCCACAAGCATCCAATCTTCATCCAGCAGGTAATGATTTCTTCTGGTCTTTGAATTGGAAGCCCCAATGGAAACCCCAGGAGGCCCCCCAGTGATAGGAGAGGAAGAAGTGGATACCATGTAGATATGTCAGGGAAAGCACCAGGAGAGAGCACCCAACAATGAATAGCTGGGTAAACAGAAGAAATTTGGGGGGGACAGGGAGGAATGTGACCAAAAGCCACCCTAAAAAATAAACCAAAAATAAACCATTAAAAAAAAAAAAATCACTAAATACATTCCTAAACTGCACCTGCTGTCATTTGAGTTCAAGGGGGTAAAATTGTTATGAGGTGCCTCCTAGTACCTTTTGCTAATAATAATGGATTTACGTATTATGAGTCTTAAATGCAGTATGTAGCATAAACGTAACATCATTCGTCATGGTACATTACAAAAGTGAAAAAAACCTAGGGAATATCTCTAGCTAGAAAAAGCCAATAGTCTTCCCTTCCTTCTCACTGCTGTTTCTCTTCAGCACACTGAAATAAAGCAGTATAGTAAACTGTACAGCAAGAGTCTACAAACACTTTGGTTGCCAGCAATGCTACTTTTCTGCATCAAGGGAGGGGCTGTGCTGTCTGGCCAGGACGATGTAAAATTCATCTTCCTCTATAAGACTCTTATAGGGACACAGACTCCTTTACAAGGAAGTGGAAAGTACATTCAAATGAGGAACTGATCATTGTCTTCTGGACTCAATTTCTGTGTTCCCAGATCTGCTACCCCTGGAGGCAGCTGAGAGAGTGCTGAAAGCTTGGGAACTTTTGTGGAGTCATCTTGCTGGATCTGTTCCTCTTTGCAGTAAGCAAACATTTCTTTCATTGGCTTTCTGCTCAGATGTACAATTCTTCTGTAAAAGATGGGAGTGGGGGTTTAGGTGGTTTCAGTTACTAAAAAGCCTGAAAAACCTAGCCATGACTTTTACATGAAAATGGGAAAAGCTACAGTAGGCTCTGGGCACAGGACCAAGGGTACCGCTGACAGTAAGTTTGGAGCTCCAGAGACAGGTTATTCTCAAAACTGAGACTAAAGCTCAGGGGATGTGTCGGGTGGAGGGGGAGGTGGAGCTGCCTGATGCCATTTGTAATCTCTAATTTTCTTAACTGTGCTGGAAGCATGTGTTTTGTAGTGTGTACTAATTATTACAGAACCAGTTTTGACCCCCTTGACTCCTCAGTGTCTTTGCCAAACCAGAACCCCTGACATACTGCAGGCCAGGTCTCTGCCAAGGTTAGAATTTTTTAGGCAGGTCTGAGGAAGATGAGACACGGCACCTGACTGTACCACGGACACATGGGTGTGTGGTGAAGACAAGGTGGAGCTGCAGGGCTTTAGGGGGAATTGCAGCTGAGATCACACCTCTTCCCCAACTCCTTAGTGCCCATGCCAATGTGCATCTTGCACTGTCCCTACAGAAAGAATTGCATGGTTTTCTCACATTGCCACCAGGCTGCTCTGCTGAGCCAGGGCAAGGGCAGCCAGAAAGGTGGCTGGGTATGTGGTCCTGACACACCTTCACCCAAGGCCTTGTCACCACTGTACAGCTATGGCTGGAGTGATGGAGTGGGAAGGCATGTGTGCACTTCGGCATGCTCTGGCCAGGTAACACCTTGCTGCCTGTTTCTGAAGTGGTGCACATCTGAAGATATACTTGCTTGGGGCTGTCCATTTGCTTCTGCTTTGCAGGCTGATGCCCCCATAAAACAACCTGAACGCTCATGGAGGCTTACAGACACTCTGACCAAGAGCCAGACACATGACTGTGGCTTGTATAGAGATTGTGAAAGAAAGTGTGAGAGAGAGAGAGAGAAGGCAGGCAGTAGAGAGTGTGTGTGCACAGAAGATAGGGGCAGAAATGAGACTGCACCCAAGACCTCTGTAGCCCCAAAACCTCAATAAATAGGAAGCAGGGCTACTTTAAAAAAAGTTGGTATCTTTGATATTTATATATTGTAATACAAGTTCATAGTTTCATAGTTGTTAGGGACTGGAAGGGACGTTACAGATCATCGGGTCCAGCCCCCCTGCACTTGGGCAGGAAAGACCACTGAGATGACCCCAGCAAGATGGGCATCAAGACATTTTTTGAAGATTGACAGGGACACATGCCAGAGTTATTATTTCTAACCTTACTTCTTCAGGCACCACACACACTGAAGCCTCCTGCTCCTCTTTTTTTATGGGCTAAAGTCAACCCTGATGGCTCTTGATAATTGTCCATCCTTTCTGCCACCCTTTGTTTGCCAAGTCTTATTTCCTTGCTTTGAGCCTGTAACGCTACTAAATCTACTGCTGTTTGGGTTCTCCTAACTCTAGCCACTATTGGAGCTTATCAAGTATCCATTCTGGCCTTTCTCTGGATGTAAATCAGCTTCTCCATTCCACTCTGCTTCTTCAGTTTCCTTTTCATAAGCCTTTACTTTACTAATGTAGGTGGGTTCAATCATTTTCTTTGCCAATTCCCACACGTGCACCAATTTGGTGGCATGACCCACCAGGTTTCCATCAGCTGACTTCATACCTCTCTCTTGCTGCACTAGGAGCCAATCCAAAACAGCTCTCACTACCCTATTTGAGTCAGAAAACACTGCTGCTTGTTCATCCTTCCTTCTTAAACTTCTGTGAATCTAGTGGAGTATTCTCTGCTGTCATGGCCACAATCTCAGCTGCACTTTCCTTCCACCACCACCTCGGTTTTAACATTAACTGCAGCATACCCTTTTCAAGGGAACCCCTTATCACAATAGCTGGATCTGCCCACAAACGAAACCACCAAGGGCTCTTCTGCTTCAGTGAGTGTCGAGTTCCTCTGGATGGAGAATGCCTCTCTGGTTTTGTCTCAAGCAATGGGCATTCATGCTCCTCTCCCCCTCTGTGAGTGAGCTATATAGGGCTGGAGATAAACTGGCTTAGATTTTCACATTGACATCCTTGTTTATCAGTGCTAAGGTCCATTTTGCTAATCTTGAATTGGATACATGGCCTTCACTAGCTTTTGCAGACAGTATGTATTTTACGGGGGGGGGGAAAGGGGGGCGGGGGGATGTTGCCCTTAGTATGCCTGGCATTAAACAAACCAGATACTCCCAATGTCACAATGCCCACACTAATGCCAGGACTTCCATCTCACTGGAGTTCAAGTTTGGGATGCACATGACACAGGCCAGTATCACGGTCTTGAGTCAGCGCTGCTCTGAGTCCTTATGCAGTGGTTGCTAACTGGAGGACATATGGTTTATTCACTTGAGGATAAGCCAAGGCTGGTGTTTGTACCAAGCCTACTTTAAGAGGGTTAACTGCTTCTTGTTGCTCCACCTTCACTCATTCCTACAGTTCCTTTTTTAGGAGCTTGTATAGAGGAGCTGCTTTTTCTGCCTACCCTTCTATGAACTCCCGAGTAAATCGCCTCAGTCCCAAGAATGACCAAAGGATATTAACACCAGTTGGAGCTGTTAACTTTTGTGTCCTTTGTTTGTGTGGAGATCACCCTTCTTGCCCTAAAGTTACACCTAGATAGGAAGCCTGTTGCTGACATACCTGTGCCTCCCTAGGGCTCACCTTAAAGCCTGTCAGCTCTATCAGTTGTAGGACCCATGCTAACAATTCTCAATTCTGTTCTCGGGTAATGGAGTATATCAAGATGTCATATTCATATGAACAGTATCCAGGTTGTACCTGTATTGGTCTAGAGCAGGGGTTGAGACCCCTGCACCGTGGCCCAGTGGACCGGCAAACTGCAGTGCCTCAGACCCGGGTGGAGAGGCTGCAGCACCTTCTGCAGGGCCCGTGGCAGCACAGGGTTTGGCCCACCACCCTGCCTGGAGGTGGGGGTAGCTTTACCTGTCTGCCGGCCGAAAAGTCCAGCCACAGTTAGCTGTGATTGCTGGGCCGCAATTTGGTGGGCCACGGCCACTTTGCCAGGCTGCGACATAAAAACTTAGAGAACCCCTGGCTTAGAGGCAAAAGGAATCAGAACTCATGGTAGAGGTGACATCCCTCATCAGACCAACTAAATTTTTGCAAAAAAAACCCCTCCTCAATTGCAAGCTCTCAGACAAAATGATTTGAGCCATATACAGCAAACAGCCCTCTTCTTCAGTGAAAGACATTCTTGTCATGCCATAGTCCATAAAAAGCAATAGCCTTGTCCAATTACTAAGGAACAGAGGGCTGCAGAGAGACATGGCACCATTAAGAGGACTCTGGGATACATATTAATGTGGGACTGTGGGTGCTGCTTGGCTTTGAAGGGCTGCTACCAGGTTTCTGTCTGCTCTAGGAGCTCCTGGAAGCCTAGAGACTGGAGGAAGCTGATGCACATAACTCAGGTACTGGGAGTGCAGCCGGACTGCAGAGCCAAGAAGCTGCAGGACTCCAGGCTCTAATCAGTAGGTCCTAATGGGAGAATAACCCCAGCTGACCTAAGCCTCTGTTAATGACAACTATGGCAGTTGATTGAGAGACAGGCAGGTCAAAGTACCTGGAAAAACAGTGGCCAGGGGCCTTATAAGCCTAGACCTGTGCTGCCTGAGACTGGTTCTTGCCAGGCCCTGGGAGGGAGCTCTGCCGGGAGTTTGAGACTGAAGAGAAGAGCTTTATGTTGCATGATTTATGTTGCTCTTTAAAAGCTATGAGGCATTGGTGCGGGGGGGCTGAAAGGACAGAAAGAGGACACAGAGAGCACCTAGGGAAGGGGCTGAAGCTTTGCTGATTTGCCTTCTGAGGATTGCAGACTGCAAGGAAGAGCAGCCTGGACTCTGTGGGGCCCATAGCCAAACTGTGCTAAGGGGCACCGCAGAGGGTGGGGAAGGGCCCACAGCCTGTTTAGGCAAAATGGCCAGGGAAGACTGAGGGAGAGAAAATGGTGCAAAAATCTCCTCAGAAGAGGAGGGGTTCCAAGCTAGCAACCTACGTAAGCAAGAACAGCCTCCTGCATTTATAACTTGTAATATCAGGCATGGCAGGAAAGCTGGAACAGTGCACCAGGGGCCCAGAAAGGTAAACAGGGCAGAGGGCGAGGGGTGCCAGGGTGCATCAGACTGCCTGAGGCACTCTACAATTGCTATACATGGACTAGATTTTGCCCTCAAAGTGGTGCTGGTAAGCACTCAGTGCCATGAGCTAACCTGTCAGAGTCAAGAGTAATACTTGCATGAGTGCTGTGCATGCTTCCTGGGGTGAACAGTAATTAAGCATTGTAGCCCAGAGAGTCTGGACACACTGGGAGTGAGAGATACCATCCTTAGGAGGACAGGATGTTGTGAAAGAGGAAACTTGATATTGTGTGTTAATTTTCCTCATATTTTTTCCTTCAGGTTTCTTTTTTTGCATTTGCAGACAACTCCCCAGGGTCTGTGATGGATCTGGATGCAGAGGCTGAACCCCTACTAGACAGAGATGCAGGGGAGGCCAGCTCTTCCCAGTCCACCACTGCAGGAATCACAGTGTATCAAGAAATACAGACACCCCTTGAGGTGCCAGCCCTGACAGCCCACGAGACTCACCACATCTTCATCAGTTACAGCAGCACAGACGCAGCCTGGGCCCGGGGACTGATTCAGAAGCTGGAGGCCACCCTTCCTGAGCTGAAGGTGTGTTTCCATGAGCGGGATTTCATGCCAGGCAAAACCATAATTGAGAACATGGTTGAGTCCATCCAGGGAAGCCAGAAGATCCTCTTAGTCCTTAGCCCAGACTTTGTCCAGAGCAGGTGGTGCTTGCTGGAGGCCAACCTGTCCGTCTTCCGAGACTGCATTGAAAGGAAGCCTGTGATCCCTGTCATGCTGCAGACCTGCTCTGTCCCACTGCACCTCACCCACCTGACCTACCTCGATGCCAGTGATGTGCACTTCTTTGACAAAGTCAGCAAGGTGATCTGCACTCCCAATCACCAGATGCAGAATGCCACCATGGTGCCTTACAACCCCCCATCCCTCTACAACGGGAAAGCTCTGCTGACCTTACATGCAGTTAATGAGGGCTTCCTACTGAAACGGTCAGGGGGTATATTCAGTGATGTAGTCCCTGACCAGCTGATCATGGTGAGTGATGATCCTGCGTCATACAGGGCAGCCATCCAGATGATTAATGAGATTTCCTCTAGGACAGTCCCCTGTTCTCCTGCCATCTGTTTTTTTGTGACTTGTGCCTGTCTGCTTGTCACCTTAATATTTTCCTTTTTTATCATTCTCAACAGAAGTCTGGACAATTCTTCATTTGTGTCAGAGCGTGATTCAGTTGGGTATATGTTGCTCGCTCTGATCGTATTCACTATTGTTGCACTTGGCAGCTGCATTTACCACTACACAGCTAAATTACCTAATGTGAAACTTCTTGAAATGTCCCAAGCTGCTGGCCTGGCCAACTACCTGCTGCAGAAGAGCTCCCTACTGATGGGGTGCAAGTCCCGCGTGGAACTTCATTTTGTCTACATGTCCCTGGAGGGGTGTAGGAAGGAGTTTGCTGACACCTTTGGGGAGAGCAGCCCCTCTGCTTTAGAGATGTTCCAAAGAGCCCTGCATTATTTCTCCTCTGATTATGCCTGCTGTGTAGCCAAGAAGTATTTCCACTTCTCCTGGGCAGGGGGCATGCCAGGGCACTGGGATAAGGGGCCTTGTTTCTGCCAGTTTGTTTCTCACTGTGTGAGGGAAGGGTCCTGGTACTGGAATGCTTCTTCTCACTCAGAAAGGAGAGTGAGAGAGAGATAGGATTTGATTCAAAATGGGGATATAGACGCCAGGCAGGAAATTTGTTCTGGTGCTGGTTATTTAAATACCTACCCCTTCTTTGTTAAGGATGAAATCTTTGTGCATGGGGGAAGAAAGAATTCTCCTCTAGTTCCATTATCCCACCAAGGGAACAATATGCCTGAGGCCAAGCCAGGGACCCTCAGACAACCTTCCTGCTATACAGGATGTCAGAGTATGGGCTATTGATGTGTCTAACTGAAACACCACAAGGACAGGTACAGATTCAGGACTCAGATTAAGTATACATTAGAGATATGTGTCTACAGCTGTATGGGCTGACTGTTCAAAATAAAAACAATATGTGGTAGTCTGGGAAAATAGAGCAAAATTTGCAGGTCAAGGCTACCAATATTGGGCTAGACCATATACAGATAATAATTTTTTTGTAAAGTGCTAATAGTAGTTAAATGCAACAATTGCAGTAACTTGGGGCATTTGTACCTATGCAAGCTCCACAGTGCTGGGTGCTTTGAGAACTGCGTTGCTTGCAGTTGTATACGCCGCAAAATGCGTATCCGCACTGAGAAAATGGCAGTGGTATGCTGTTGAACTAAAATACATAGAAGATGTTTCAGTTCAAAAGCGCACCACTGCCAGTTTCTGTGCACTGAGACACATTTTGCCACTTATACAACTGCATGCAGTGCAGCACAGTTCACATCAGCTCACGTGGGGAGCAGACTCGATTAATTGAAGCTGCTTCAAAGCAGCAGATCTATAGCATGTTGTGGGATAAATATGTATGTGTATAAATGTTCTTGATGTTTAACCTTTTGATAAAAATGATATGTAACCAGCTAGAATTCTGTTGAGATGATAGTGTGCTCCTGTTGAGTGGATATGGTAAAGAGGAAGTGTAAGCCCGCATTGCCAGCCTTGACCATTTTTCAAGGGGCCTCAATTACGCCACAGAAGCATGACTGAAGTAGAGGGCTCAGGGCTTTTTTTTTTTTTGAATGAAGGCAAGAGTGAACCTTTGTGGACTTGACAACTAGCCTGTTCCACAGAGGTCAACTTAAACAGAGCAAAAATCCCGAAGGGAAGCATTATATAAATACCTTTATAATAATCCAAATATAGTTTATCATAGCTTTAGAAATTATTGGCAGTAATAACTGAAGTAATCAACTATGAGATCTAATCTTGCTATAATGAATATATTTGTGTTAAGCTCCTTGAATAAGATGCAAAATCAAAGCAGCCCTCTTAGTGAAAATCATAAAGCAAGGTGAAGTCAAAACAAGACAGGGACAAGCAGCATTTCAGGATGGTGAAGGACAGTGGTCAGAAATCGTCCCTTACAGAATTGTAATTTTCACAAGGACATAAATCTCAAATCCCTGACAACTACTAGTCTATATGTATTTTTTTTTAAAGGAAAAAAATCTGATTCTGTCCAGTTCCCAAAGTTTCAGTTAAACAAAGACATTGGAATAAACCGATCGGAGACTGTTTAATCAGAATTAGCCATGCATAAATATATGGTATAGAATCAAGGGAAATAGAAGAATTCTAAAAATTCAAGACAACCTGCCAGTCTGTGTCCTTTCCTGATTTCTGCCCTGCCCTCAACCACCCCACCACTTTCCTAAGTCTCCCCAGATGGTATAGGTACAAATCTGTATTCTTCTGTTGTAGGTAGCTAGATAGAACTGGGATATATTTGTTGCTGTGCTTTGGGGTATAAACAATAAAAAACTTGGGCCATAAACCCATCTCTTTTGCATCTTTTATAACTTGTTTGGTAGTAACACCCTATCTGCTAAGAGTGAATGGGGAGCCATCAGGAAAGATAATAATTAACAGAAGTGAAACTACCTGAATCGTGTACTTAAGAAAGATAATCATTAAGGGAATTGCAACTACTCCGTTATTTTTGGCCTAAGCTTGCAAAGGGATCCTGCCCACAAATGGGCTGTACGCTTGTTTTTCTAACACTGAAATTGTCAGATGGTAGTGGAAGACCACAGGTTGGCCCATTGCCATTTTGTAGGGA